CTACCTTCTAAACACAAGAGTTCCAATTCTTTTGTTCTATTTAAACCGCATACCGGACTGCGAGTAGTCTTAGTTTGGTACTTTGTGTCTTTCGTCTTTTTGTTATTTTTTAGTGCTGAGTAACGATCTGATGAGTCAAGCCCTATTAAGTTTGTTCTTATGTTGTGTCGTTACATCTCTGTGTGGTGACCGGTAATTGTTCGCATCTTTGTCTTTAGGTTTTAACGGATAGCTGTCCCATTAGCAATCATACCACACCTCCTTTTTTATATGCATGTCTTTACATCCGATAGAAAAAAAATGATTTTGTTCAGACTGTCTTCTTATCCTGTTTTTAGATAAATACCCCACAATTTCCAAATTCTTATAAATGTGGTTAAATGCTAGAAAAATTAGCCGTAATTTTTTTGAATCAGCTAAAAATGACGAAAGCGACTACCGTTCTTTATGTAAAACTTGCAGGAATAGCAGTCATGACATAGAATAACTATATAAAATATTACACTAAACTTAATTTAGTAATGAAAAGTAGGCAAGTGCACTAGATATTATATGTTTATATTTGATACTTTTATAGAACAAGATAATGACAAAAGGCGGTCATCTTTAATGTCTATAAAGAACGATTCTGGAATTGAAAATAGTATGACAATAGAAAAAAGTGTTATCATTACTCAGTATGAGAAACCTTGGGCTGAAAGATCTGCCATTGACCTTGAAACTGATTCTTATTTTGAACAATGTGTAGATAAAGGAAATGAATCAAACACTACTGAAAAGGTTGATAAAAAGGAAAAAATAGAACTGGAGCCCGAAAGGTCTTCTCAATGTCCTTCAGACGAACAGCAAACGGCACGTGATCGCGAAAGAAGACACACCCGTAAACACAAACATTTAGACGATGAAAATGACAGTAAACAAAAAAGGTGCTGTAGAAAAAAGAAAGAACGATCAAGAAGTAACACACCTATTCGTCGTTCAAGACGCAAACCGCGTAGATACCGCTCAAGAAGCAGTGAAACAAAACATCGGTCCAGAAGCAAGACACCCATTTGTCGCACTAGACTCCAAGCGCGTAGATACCGATCAAGAAGCAATGAAACCAAACATAGATCCAGAAGTAAGACACCAAGCCGTCGTTCTACACGCAAAAAGCGCAGACGACGTTCTAAAAGCAATAAATCAGGGATGTGATCAAGAAACACAAATAATTGACAGTGACCGAGGAGCAATACATCCAGACGTAATAAATATTCTGAAAAAAACGTAGTTAACAAACAAAATAAAGTTAAGATGGAGTACGACATTATTTTAGTGTTGTTAGTTTGTCCTATTGCAGCCCATAACCTATTTTGAGTTGTTGGTTTTCTGGGAATAAATGCAATAACCTAGCATGATGATGTATACTTTAATAGGAAAAATACAATACACGGTATAACTATATACAAAAGCACTTACCAGGAGTTATTGTTCGTTCTTCAAAATCTTCTAGCAGTGTTTAGTTTTATCTTTACGTCAGGGAAAGTGTGTATCTTCATGTCACGGAAAGTGCAAAACCGCTCTCCTTTCACCAGTTGCTGCAGATATATTCTTAACACACATTTGTTTCTTCAGACAAGGATTTTAATTTGGCTGTTATAAACCTAAGGCTGTCAACTTGATTATACATTGCATTTTTGTCTCGTCATTCCTTGTATGCAGATACGTTATGTTACGAAGTTTCCGTGTGTCATATAGATATAAGAAGATGTGGTATGAGTGCCAATGAGACAACTTTCCATCCAAGTCGAAATTTATAAAAGTAAACCAATATAGGTCAAGGTACGGTCTTCAACACGAAGAATTTATTGTCTGAAAGAAATGCACTACGAAATAACTGTGTTCTCGGGCCATATGGGTTCCTTGCAACGCCTACATATCCGTCAGACAGGGTTACCTGACTTTGACCTCATTACATAGATCAGTGATTAAGGTTAAAGTTACGTCATTAGGACTGTTTCTCAGATACTATAAGCAGTAGGCCAACTATAGTTGGTGTATGGAAATGATTGTAAGGGGGACATTTCAGTTTGGCAGGTTTCATCTGACCTTGACCTCATTTTCATGGTTCTTTGGTTAATGTTCAGTTTTTGTGTTTTGGTCTGTTTTTCAATTACCATAAGTAATATGCCAACTATATTTTGTCATGAATGTTTAAAGATGCAAAGTTTATGTGATACTTGTAGTAAAACCTTGATCTTTAAGACTTTCAACATAAAATCAGTGGTCAGTAAAACAGGTGAGACGTTTTAGTGTGTGCACTCTTGTTTTCCTCTTTGTTCTAAATCTTAAGCGGATTTCTTTTTGGCTGGGAACTTGTGTATCAACTCATGATGGACGTTGTAGAAGCATGGTTGGCAGATGACAAAATAACTTGCAAAATTGTGTAGCATTCAAATGCTACATAATTTTAAAAAGACCACTTATCCGAGAACCATAAAAATACCTTTATCAATTGCTAAATTATTTCTCTTTTAAATAAATCGCTTAAATAAGCAGTTTATTTTGATAAGTTTTGAATATTCTTTTTGAGCAGGCTTTTGTTTTTAATGATTTAATTCAATGATATTTAAAACTTTTGTTTCAAAGGTTAACAGTTATTTGACCTTGACCTTATTGTAATAAATTTTTAAAAATATAAAGTTTCTGTAATGCTTTTAGTAAAACCTTTATCTTTAACCTTTCAATATAAAATCAATGGTCAGAAAAGCAGGCGAGACATTTCAGCGTGTGCACTCTTGTTATCATTTTGCATGCACTGTTTAGTTTGTATAGCCATATTGGTTGGTTCATCCGGGTAACAAATTAAAATTAAAAAAATCTCAAAGCTGACCCATATGGAAGATTTACGCTAAGTTTGCCTTTGAAAAAGTTTATTTATAGAGAAGGGCGACTGACCCAAAAGATGTGACACATATTTGGCTTAATTTTATCTTTTGATGATACCAACATAATTTTATTAAACACTATCTTGTCTAAACTTCAATATGCCCTTGTAGTTCACATTTCAGTGAGGGCTTGCAACTCATATATCACAGGGAACTTGAAATTAAAGATACATTTACTACGAAAAGTAGTTCTGCTTAATATTTGGATCTTGTTATTGACATGATTGGCACAGATTGACGACTTCCAACTAAGATCTTTGAAAAAAAAGTGATTTCCCAGTGTCAACGTCCAATTTCTCAGCAGTAACAATTCCAGTGTCAAATCGTATGACGATTACATATCTAGGGTGATGTGTTACGCGCGTGAATGTTCACATTCGACTTCTTCAGAGCACACGTGCACTAGCATTTATGAGGGACAACTTTGAAATCAACACCACATAAGCCCCGGTCACACCTTACCAGATAGAGCGAACGGACGCCGAACGGATAACTTTTTTTCAATCCGTTCTTGTCCGTTCATATCCGTTAGACGTCCGTCCATATCCGTTTCATGTCCGTTCAGCTTCCGTTTTATCCGTCGACGTCCATTATGTCCGGTGGAAAATTTTGAGCATGTTCAAAACTTCGAACGGACGTCCAACGGATAAAGTGTCCGTTTAACGTCCGGTAGTCGTCCGTTTTTAACGGTACTCGTCCGTTTCGTTTCCGTTTTATATCCGTTACTTGTCCGTTATACGTCCGTTGATGGTCCGGTAGACCAATTCACCAACGGACTACTACCGGACGTATAACGAACGTATAACGGATAAGACGGATGATAAACGGATGTGAAACGGACATGAACGGAAGGATAATGGATAAAACGGATACGTACCGAATGTAAAACGAATAAATGCCAATTGAAAATTTCGCGTTAGAAATGCCAATTATTGGTATGTCAGATTTCTTGAATGTCATGAATGTTTATTATTCATAATGGATCGCTGAGTAAGGACACGTCTTCACTATCAAACAGCTCTTATTTAGGCCAGACTGAACTTAAATGTTGCAAATATAAACCTTCTAGACTATAAACTACAACCAGTTACACGAAAACTTTTTAATTATTCTAAGGTCACGATTATGTGATTTACATGTATTAATATTGCCGCCTTTAATTTCCCGCTTACCTTGTTCATCCGTTTTATCCGGTACGCTTTCGTTAGGTGTCCGTTTTATGCGGTACTCGTCCGTTGGATGTACGTTCGACATCCGTTCTGTCCGGTACGTTTCCGTTTCTCGAACGTTACATATCCGGTGTGTGTCCGTTAACCATTCGTTATGCGTCCGTTTTATATGGTCAGTACACCAACGGACTCCCAACGGATACAAATTTTGTCAACGGAAAACTTTTTTTTTCATCCGTTCGGCGTCCGTTCGAGCTATCCGTTAAGGTGTGACCGCAGCTATAAGCTTTACGGTCACCATTAAGAATTGGTTGATGGATAAGATACATCTGTCTTAAATAACAAGAGACATGTCTCGCGGTCTTAGATCTTTAGATACCAGAATAGACGTCTGATATGTTACCGATTGTGTCCAATCCCCTATTGTAATATTTTGCCCTATTGTAATTTGTTAAGATGGTAATACTTGCATAGAAGGAGACCGTTTCCCTGTCGACACACCCGGTCTTGTTCCGTTTTTAGATCATGCGATTTCCCCATGGTTTTGATTCTACCTCATATTGTATATTCTAAATGGATTTGCGAGATTTGAACATGGGTAATCTTCTGTTGCATCTCATTCATATGTCCATCAATTTCGATTAAACATAATTAGAATTTGGAGCTCCTTGAAAGATACTCACTATTATATTAATGTATGAAATTCACCAACTGAAGAATAGATTTGATAGCTGGTTTAGAAATTTTTTTCATGGGATATAAAATATTTCAGGTTGTGATCATATGATGAGTTATGAAGAAAAATGTCTTATTTTTTATAGTTTAAAAGTAAATATGATGATAAACTTATTGAATATGAAAACTCCAGGAGAAAGCATATTTTGGGACATGTCACAATAAAAAGTCTTATCACTTCTTTTATTAATAAAAAAAAAAAAGTCATAAAATATAACAATGGAAATATAAAAAATGCACTTTGTACAAGACTAGTGTGTGATTCATTAACAATATACATACATAAAAACGTTATGCAGACAAATTAGTTATGCCAGTTAAATAATATTAAAAAATATACAAATGTCCTGTTTTAAATAATAAGTGTATGCCAGTTATTAAATATAATGCACTTTACAAAACCTCTAATAATCGTTCAAAGTCGATCACAAACACCTTGAAAACTCAATCACACACGCAAAAAGTGCTATCGACGTTTCCTGCATTCCCTGAACATTATGTGGTTGTTCCTTACATGGTATAACGATTTATAAATGAATTGTATTATATATTAGAGATTTAAAGACATCTGCCATGTTACATGTAACCATTTCACTGATGAAAGCAAACTCATTCATACGGCGCAGACATACATAATAATAATACAACAGAAGAGAGACACGGCAAGGCTTATCCCGAGGGGTGCCCGGTTCAACAATAAGAATAAAATTCGACTGTTATCTGATTCATTTTGAACCCCACCCCGACAATTATTGTACCAACATCGGAGTGACGATATGTAGTTATGAAACGTTTTTGTTTGCCTCGAAGGTGTCCGATAATAATTTTTTGACAAGAGAAATATTCAACCCTTCACTAATACCATTCCCTTGGGATGGAACACAATGCCTTAACATTAATAATTACATTCAATAATAATCAGAGAAAAAATAAAAATGATATAATCTACTAGTAGTGTAACTGTAAACTACATGAAACATCATTAACTAAGTTTAAATAAAACTTCCCTTGGATTTATTTCACACCACTGACCATTTACTAAAAGACTCCAATATTTTCTTAAGATTACAGCACTAAAGATTCATATGTGTATTTTAAGGTTTAACACCATGTCAGTTAATTTTCGCTTATTCGACCAAATTATAACTGCCCAAGATGACTCAAAACTGCAATTTCAATTTTTTTTTTATAATATTTAGATAATCCAAAAATTAACAAGCACATTATTAACCAAAGCCGAAGTTCTGTAAGAAGTAAAGTAAAGCTATAACATGTCATTTGTATACACATTAAATTATTTTGGCTACAGGCGTCCATTGATGCAAATTTAACAAAACATTTACACTCTTTCACCAGCTATCGGTACGGCAGAAACAATAGGAGCTATATTAACAACAATTGCTTGGCATACGTTTTCAGCAGATTGTGTCGGCTTTTTCCCTATCGAGTTGCAATAAATGGATTTTGAAACCGTGTACACCATATTTTGATCAGTATTTGCATCTGCCGTACCAATTGCCGATAATAGGGAGTGAAATTTGTAACATTGTCTTCCAAAGCAATATGAAGCTATGAAAAACATTTTAATTTGAATGAAATACGTATAATTGTTTATGATTTGTAAGGGAATATTACATATAGGCTCTTAAATATTCGAATACTAGTAGGTTTAACAACTTTCCGGTTTTGACAATGTGAGTAAAACTAAAAGTGGAAATCGGTTCTACCATAAAACTATCTTCCCTTGTAGTAAGGTATATGGTAGTCTAAATATTATATCGGATAAGATTCAGCGGCGTAGCCTCTTGAAAATAAATAGTAACATTCAGTTAATGTAGATATTCCCTAAAAACTTTACCACCGATGAACGTCGAGTACGTCAGTGATGATGTGATTTAAAACAAAAGAATACTAAACAGTATAAGGACAATATATTTAAAACAGTGTGTAAAATTGATAGACTCTCACATTTCTCAGATCTTTTTCTTACAAAACAAGTTCACACCGATAAGGAATGGTAAGCAGTCTGACTAAAGCCAGCCCCCTCCTACAAACGCAAGTGGAAAGTGGGGTATGGCTTAGTCAAACTGGTTTAAAAGCACCGTTTAACAAAAAGATATTTGCATTGATATTAACCCTCAGTACATATTCCCGGCATTCGGAATATTATACTCGATCACGAAAGAGTTCATTTGAATATTATTTCTTTGGATGTGGATCATTGACATCATAAGGAGGTGGTGACTCATGATATCCTGGAGGTGGTTCATGATATCCTGGTGGTGGCTCATGATATCCTGGTTGTGGATATCCCATGCCGTCTTCCGCCGGAGGTGCAGATGGAGAAACAGGCAATTGATTAGATTGTCCTTGTGGATATCCTGTATGTCCTCCTGGAAAGTATCCGGGTCCTGGGCCAGTCTGTCCAGGATACTGACCCCCTTGTGGATAATATCCTTGACTTGGACCAGGCTGTCCACCATATGGTCCTCCAGGCGGTGAACTCCACTGACCAAGATTATGGGCATTTGCACCAGGTTGACTGGTTACTACGGTGTTTGGTTGTTCATCGTCAAATGGTTTATTATCATGATAATATTCCTCTACAAAATGTACAAAAATAATATATAACGTCTTGTCTGATCTTGCAAAGTTTAAATAAAATCACACAATGGGGTCATTTTACTACCGCGCCAGGGTCCACTTGCGTAATGACATGACAATTTTATTTTAAGCAGTTCCCCTATTACTATTACAAACTGTAAAATAAGATTATTAGCTGTTTTGACATTATTTTGTTAATCTAGGATGAGATTTAGAACGTTATATACATGCAACACATTTATTTAATAATTTTAATTGACTACTTGTATGCACAGTACTTCAATATTGATTGATCACCTGCTTTATTACCGACTATTAGTGAAAATGTTTTTGTAAGAACTCGTGATCCTACATCCTGTCGATCCTGTTTTCTTATATTTTGGCATTGCACAAGGTCATGTGTTTCTTATACTGTTTATGGCGTCTATAACTAAATCCGTTGGATATGTACTGACTGATGAACATGATTTATTTATTAGTTGTAATTGTCTTTCAACTAGCTTTCAGTAACTGCGAATACTCTTATTTCGGTGCTTCGTATCTTTTGTTTTTATGTTGTACAGTAGTTGTTATGAATAAAAAAAATTAGGTTTTGGTTTAATCCTGACGAAAAAACTTTACAAGAGCTCACGCTGAATGCGATCACTGTTTTATACAATGTCAGTTTATAATTTACTTTCAAATATTCATTTATAGTTCACACTATATTTATTTTATCTCGAGCACTATGATCCTTACTTGCTTGAAGGTTTAACTTGCTTATATCATTAATACTACAAACTGTATGAATATCATTAAGATTATTCTAAGATATTGTGAAATAAAGAACAAGGATTTTAATAGTTTTTACATTTATACTCACTTGACATTCCAATGAAAGAAACTCCCCAAAAACAACTCCATACCCATCCAACAAAAAGTACTGGTGCGAGTATAATTTGTAAAAGTCCAAACAAAACACTAAGAAAGGAACTACAGAACTTGTCACAACACGTCATATCTTCATTTCTAGCACAACAACACACACAAAAACCAGCTATAATTGTACCTGAAATGATAAATAGTTACTACTTTAAGGGAGAAAATGTAAATTTTCTTTTCTAAATTATTCTAAAAATTTATTCTATGAACAGCAAAACCTTTCAATAAATACTGTGAATATGGATAAAAGGAGATGTGGGATAAACGTCAAAGAGAAAGCAACCCCAAAAAGGCAAACAAAAATATAAAAAGACAAGACATCTAGAAGTCAACATATGGTCTTCAACTTCAAGCACTTGTCTATACAATATGCCATGGTCAAAACCGTCCCGAGTCTACTAAAATTAACCGAAATTGACATGTCTATATAACTTACTGCAAACCATGTTTAGTTGACCTATTACTTCGGAGAGCCTTTTACTCCTTTTATAAGTCAACAAAAACATTGTTGTTCATTGAAGTGTAACACAAGGTCAATGTCAGGTGATTACTGTTAGACGGACATGATAGCTGACTTGTAACTCGTGGTAAGTATAGAAAATAGGACACTTACTCAAGTTATGACCTTACTGTAAATATATGTTAAATCATGACAATGATACCAAGGGGCACTAGCTGTCAAATTCATGTTCACCGATTTGACTCAAATTCTCATATTTGATTTATAACAATGTAAAACATTTATCCAAACTATTAAAAGTCTAAAATAAACAATTTACAGGGCACGAGATCGATACTATGTAGCTTCGTTTCGTGCGTATTTTAGTCTTACTCTAGTTGCCAACTAATTAACTATCGAGTTGACCTTCGGAGTCATCCGATGACCATATAAGCGATGTAAACATAAATATAGATATAAATAGATTAAGCGAACTCGTGCTATTGGATTTTTCTAGGTCTGTTTAATTTTATATTATTAAAAATATATGTTTATCATCGTTTTTACCTGTATAAGAATGATTATTTGTGGATCGAATCATTCAATCAAATGATTTACCTTTGTTTCACTTTCAATGTTGACATTCTTTTCCTGTAAATAACTTTACACGCACAATGCATGCTTTATCCATCTCTAGCCAAGGGGTTAAATTGAAGTTCACATGAATACGGATTCAATGAGGTCGAATTATTCACTTGCAAGTGAATAATTCATCATCAATGTTTCTTAGCTTATTTTGACAAAATTGAACCATACTGCATGGCTGCTAAAATCGAATAATTATTTTACTATTTCACTTTCATTAATGATTGAACAAAAAAAAACATATTTCAATTTTTTTATATTTCTCGTAGCTAGTGCCCCTTTAAGTGACATTTGACGAGAAATTCGGGTCGGTGTCTAACGCGAAAGTAACACATAAAAGGTTAAAACGAGGCGGTCAACATGGAATGAACAATAAAAAAAAATGTTAATGATCGTTAATAATTTGGATTCCTTCTCTGTTATTTAGAACTAAATTGTGAAAGGCACAAAGGGACGGTGCTAAATGGCAAGGTGGGTGATTTACATGGTTCTTGCATGTTAATAGTCGATACAAATGTGGTTTAGTTTCTCAGCATAAAGAAATGCACAAGTCAAATTAGTATGGCATATTGATGAAGTAATGGATGTGAGGGTTAAGACTGAGGCATGTTCAAATTGTCACTGACTTGTAACGCCTTAAATTTTTGTCTAAAATTTTGTCTTGTGTATATTTTACTATGCTCTTATAGGAAAATAAACATCTTCTTCTACAGTTTAAGTGTTGCCGATGTTTTTTCTCGAATTTTCTTGAGGTATTCGTATCCATTTGGGGATTATTTATATAAACCATGTGGGAAAATCATAAATAAGCATCAGTATACATATTCATACAAGACAAATACAGAGTCTGTACCTGTGTCGCTGCATGTTATTGATTGAGGTTGCATGCATGTATACTGAAGCACAACTGATCATTCCCTTTCAGTGAAGACAAGAACATGACGAGAATTTTCCTTCTACGATGAGTGTTGTAAAATTTCAAACTATCGGCAAACAGGAAGTGGCTGCACAGTGGATGTATAAATTGCTTACTCGCAATAACTCAACATTATCAAGATGCAGACAAAATAATAAATCATTCCCCTTCATAGAAGCCGAGAAAACTTTCAGACGGCCAGATGGACGGACGGACGGAGTCGAGCGGTTGCTATACCTGCTTTCACCTTTCGGCAACGCAGGTAATAAGAATGAATTAGAATACGAATATTTATTGTTCCAATTCAGGGCCCTTGATGGACAGCAGGACATTCACATAAACAAACATTACACTATGATTTGGTAACATATTTTCACATTTAAATGAAATATATTAATTGTTCATACAATTATAAACCTACATAAATTTCTTTATTCCAAATATATCATGTACATTTTATTCCAGACATGACCAGAACCAAAAAACAATTACAATATTAATCATTATGCTGTATACAAATTCACATTTCGTCTAACATCTAGACATTTAATAATATAATTCCCGAAATATTTTAGGACAGAAATTTTTTTATTAGTAAATAACCAAATAAATGTTACCTCATTTAAGAGATTTGAAAAGTTCTGAAAAATATTGTTTATCATATTGAAAAATATCTCTATCATCTTGTATGCTGGACAACTAATAATAAAATGTTCATTTCCAACCAAATTTACAATACATATTTACAAAGCCTTTGTTCTTTTTCTATATAATAAGTTTTGTATCTGTCTTTTTTTCTATGTTAAGATCATCATGATTATGGGTCTCTTAAAATTCCCATTTTACATGTGGCACTTCTCAACAGAAAATTGGTAAAGATAGATAAATTTCTATAGAAACACAAGTTTTTATATTGAAACAAGTATTTAATTTACCAGTTTTTTTCTGTTCTATTTGTGTTCCAAACGTGATAAAACTGATAAAAAATTTAAGCAATACATCTGAATTTTGAATATTCAGCCTTTTTTAAATGTAATGTATTTGTTGTGTACAAGTTATCATTTTGTACAAATTATAATGTGTACGATAAAAACGTAAAAATTATAATTTGTATTTTCATTTTGTACAAATTATAATTTGTATAAAAAGTGCCTGTACACATTATAATTTGTACAAAATAAGACTTAATTTCACTTATAACTTGTACAAAATTTTACATCGAATAAGTTTTCAAATCAAATGATAAACAAGAGGCTGCCAGAGTGACAGCCAACCGGATTTCCCTGCAGAGGTCGAACCCTGAACAGTTGAGCAAGTATGGACACAACATTTAAGCTTAAAACAGCTCTGAATTTGGATTGTGATTTAATATTCAAAATAGATTATTATCTAATTAATAATGAAAATGATATTTGCAAATCTGAACCCCCAAACAGGATCAAGTAAAAATTAAACATTAACACAGAAAACAAAAATAAAATACATATAACGACTGTGACATCTACCTTCATAACACACATGACTTAAAAAAAATAGTTATAAAGACATTTTTGACAACTAATGACTAAAATCAATCGAACAGAGCGATCATTGATAGACTAAAATCCATATACCATTTCTGTTCAAAGGGAAATAACTCAAACTTATTTCCATGAACCAGTGATGACTAAACAACAAAAATAGTTCTCTAAAATTAAATATGATTTAACCACTAAAACATTGTTAGAATCAGCATATCAAAGAACCTCAAGAATTCAATTTTTGATGAAATTAAAAAAAAGTTTAATTTAGGACCCTTTGGACCTCAATGTGGTATTATCTAATTAATAATGAAAATAAATACAGGTATAGATTCAGCATTTCAATGAACCCTATATATATTCAATTTATGTTGAAATCAACAACAGTTTAATTTTGGACCCCGATTTGGACCAACTTGAAAACTGGGCCCAAAATAAAAAAATCTAAATATATGTTTATTAATAGACAATATAAGCTTAGTTTTTAAAGGAGTTCACTTCATAAAAAAATATATATATATATAGCATTCAGAAAATATGTTTATACAGAATAACAAACAAACCTAACACAAAATTCTTCAAACAATTTACCAAAGAAAAGAAAAAAAAAAAATCCAAATACCATTTATCATTAATACAACGTCTTTTAAAAATCTATAAAACTTATCTGTAATTATCTTCAAAATGTCTAATAATGAACAGTAAATTTCTAACTATATTTATACTGTCCTACAGAGCTTATAATCATCAACACTTAGGAAACAGAAAATGTTCAAATAAATCTGTCACTCCAACTACATTTACCATATACTTTGTAATCTGATAACAGGTGAAATTATTTAAAAACGCTTAGTGTAATCAAACTTCATATATATAATTAACCATTTCTGTTCAAAGGAAAATAACTCAATCACATAATAAGTACCACTTTTGGCTACTGAAAAGGGCTACAACTCAACAACGAGAAAAGCTAAAATCGTGAAAATTGAACTTGACCTTCATCTAGTCACAGGAAACAGCATATCTAAATTTGAAAAAAAAAATTGTCAAAGCGTTTTCATGTTAATGAACGGACACTGTTTGGCAGCCGCCCGCCCGCCCGCCGTACATCCCCAAATCAATAACCGATTTTTCCTTCGAAAATCCGGTTAAAAATCATTTAATTTTAATTATGAATCAATATGAACACACTGATAACTCTATTTACACTACTATACAATAATATACAATGCTCTTATTTGTTGGAGCAGATGAGCGAATCATGACACCCCGAATTATACAATACATTCTGCTTTTTGCATTTACACTTGGAATTGTTACAACTGTCTTAACATTTGCAAGAGATGACCCTGTCCACCAGTTTTTGAATTTTTTTTTCACAGCTTCTCTCAGGGAAAGTTGTAAATCAGGAACTTATGTAACGGACAAAGAAGAGTCATTAATAAATTCTAGTTGGTTTCTACGTAAGACTCCTGATAAGTTACCAGCTATTGTCCCTACACGATAGCCAACATTTCTTACTTCCACAACAACACCTTATATATTCCTCGGATTGGTCGGTTCTCGATCCTACTGTGGAATTGGGATGATAACATTGTCTCCAACAG